GATCGTATTATCTTCGACGGTCAATGTGTTCGCATGGCTATCCTTAAGCTGGATATACACCGAGCGAACGAACAAGGGAGAAGGCAACATAGAATGAACAGCGAATACGTACCTTCGTTGTTACAATTTGGAAAGCCTATACACGCCATGACGAATCTGAGCTAAACGTTTCAGGTCGATTTGCCCATAAGGTGGTTCACCAAGAAAGCGTTTCATGCGCGTTCAGACGCGAATATATTGTATATTTATTGCTCGTTAAGATTATTATCATTATTATTATAATCATCATATACCAGTAAAATAGTAGAGTAGTAAAACAGTACTATTTGTAATCGTTGTTGCGCTTGAGGGGATCCATTCCAAAGCACGGAATAAATAACATTCTCTTTCTCTTTCTCTCTCGTTCACTGTCCGCTCGGTGTCTACCCAGCTTTAGAAGTGCGATCCGCGCCGATCCCACCTGCAGCACGCGGCGTTACGAGAGGGGCGCGCAATTATCAAGTTACGGTACCCGCCGTTTCGCGCGATCTGTACATTTCCGTGAACGTGTTAATCTCCCGGGGAATTAGTCCGTCTCTCAAGGCGATCCCGATCGGAGGATCGATGGCCGTTGGGAGGAACAGCCGCGTTAACGCGGGTCTTCTCGCGCTCTTCTATTTCCGACTGCGTCGTCCCGTTCTCGCGTCGAGCGGCCCGAGCGGCTCCGCAGTGATTACTATAATTACGATTATAATAGACGAGATCGGAGAATCCAGGTCGCTCGTGACTGCGCGCGCTACGCCGAGGAATCAGAAGGGGAGACATTCCACTTTCCAGCGAGGCGGTAGCGAGGAAACCGGAGAAAAGCCGTCGCCGCGCGGACAGGGAAATTAACCGCGAGAGCGCTAATTAATGCGCCGGGTCCCACGCGATTCGATTGCCGCTCGCCGCCGCGTTCAGGTTCAGGGATGCGAGCGTGCAGCGACGAGACGAGCACAATCGGCGGACATTAATGAGCACCGCCGTCATCGTCGTAATGCGAACGCGCGCGATCCGACGACTACCTCGACGAGTGAGTGAGTGAGTGAGTGAGTCATGCGACAGGAAGTCCTTTTTCCGCGATGCACGGTCGAACACCTTCCGCTCCGCGAACTGGTACAAGGTGAAATCGAGCTCCGGCCCGGCGTATAAGCGGCAGAAGAAGAAGGCTTTCGCGATCGATCGATCTCGCGAGACGCTCGAGATGATCCTTCCTAAAGTCGTTATAAGAGTTCGGACACCATATGTCTGATTTCTGATTGGCTCCGCCGTTTTTCGAGTTCCCTCCCAGTCCAGGACGTGTCAAAGGCTGCTTCCCAGCAACAATCGACGCAGGTCTAATTGTATCATTTATTAGAGAAAACATTTGTTCTTTTGGCGAAGTGTCGTTCAATCGATTCTAGACCCAACGTTTCGCGCATTACAGCCGTGATTACTTCCGGTTTATAGACCGAACATAGACACAGCGACGGTGTCCAGACTCTTATAGAGACTTTGCCTCTCCCTGTCCGTCCATCCCCGCGAATTTCGTCCGCTTTTCGAGCGATCTCTTTCTCCCGGGTCGGCTTGTGAGGAGCGAATGGTTCCTTCTCGCCAGATAGCAGATAGTATAAACTATTTGCCAAGTACGCGATGAGAAAATTGCCCCATTGTGACCGGTGGGAATAAGATCGCCCGATAGCGGGGCGAGGGGTAGCGGATAAAAGTGCGGCAGACAGTCGCGTTCGTAGAACGGATGGCACGATAGACAACACCGAACACGGGAAAGATTAGATCCTGTTAAATCTTATTCTCTCTCCTCTGCGTATCCGCGCGCGGAATCTCCCTTTTTCCTCGATATTATACCCGCGGGGTATCATCAGCGCGACGCGATCGCGTGAGAGAGGTCGCCATTTCGCAGGGGGTATTATTCAATGTCGTCTATTACCACGCACGGCGCGCCGAGTGTGCCACAACTACCCAATTATCCTTCGATTAAAAAATAATGCGATAGTTGCGGTACACGGCCGTGTCCCGTACGCTCGTTACGCATCACAAAGTATCTTATCTGCATTATCGGACATTTATCGACGTCAGGAAATTAACTTTGGCTTCCATTAACCATGCGGGACTTTCCGATAAAACGGTATACGCCCCCCGTCCGGTCCCTCGCTCTATCGCGAAACCAACCTCTCCGAGAGCGCGAAACGATATTAGCCCACCGACCAAACTTAGATGACGATCAATTTTTTCGCACTAATCCGATCCTATCGACGCGAGGAGATATTTCTTTTCATCTACGTAGGAATAATACGGGTATGTGCGTGCGTACGCGCGTGTGTATGCGTGCGTTATTATTAGAGTTACCCGTAATATCCGTGTTTTATCGGTTTATCTGGGAAATAAACTCGTCTGAAAGGTGTGCATTCCCGCCGTGTTTCGCGGCTCGATACGGCTCGTTGCCGAGGCGGGTGCGGACTTCATTTACCACGTCTCTTCCTTGTATCGAATATGCCGCATTTGGCCGCCCAAGACGTCTGGCAATTAAGGTCAGACTTGAATTCGCGCACACCGACCGAATCGATGAGGCAATCTTGCCCCGCTGGCTTGGCGCCAGAAAACTGCGACAGCGCATGGTGAGGACCGACGGCCGTGTCCTGTCGTTTCTTATTATCCGACGCCTCGTCTCTCGCGGGCGGGCGGACAGCCACGTGGATTTTCACGAGCAAGGGCGTTTCGCCCTTCGCACCCCGGTTAAATCAATTAGACGCACGACGTAGGAGGCGTTGATACAATATAGGAAGACGTGACGTTGCCTTCTGGCATTCAGGAGATGAAGAACGAGGGCGTTCACAGGATTTCTCAACTCGAGAATCCGCCCATGATAGGAGTCTGATCAAGTCGCTGTGGCCACCACAGGGTTTGAGTTAAAACCGGAAGTTCACGGTCATAATGCGCGAAATGTTCAAATGCTATTAAAACTAACTAAAATACTTGTTCCTGACGATTTGGTAATGATTTTTCTTACACAAAGGAAATGTTGCAGTAAAAATTACCACCGAACTTTGCAATGCTGGACCATATAGGAATTATGGCTGAAATTATGATGTGTGTTGTAATCATAATTCCGAGCATTACAAAATTTTATGGTAATTTTTAACCATAATATTTTCTCCGTGTATGTTAGCGCAAATGTGACAGATACTTCCTTCCGACAAGATATTATAAGACTAATAAAACCTACACATATGTCAAAAAATTGTACTGATTTGCGCAAATATAATTATGCATTTATCCATTTTTTTAAAAATATATTAATAATTATAATATGAAACGTACAAACTCATTTTTTTTAACACACTTCGTAAACTTCGTAGACTTCGTAAATGGCAAATCTTTGCTTGTATTGTCACTCAACTGCTAATTGATAACTTTGACGTCATCCCAGCCGGAAGCTTACCCAAACATGGTGGAGCCAATCAGCAATCAGACATACGTTCAGACTCTTATTATAGAAATTCTGTTCTCAACTGTCGCCAATAACAATCGACAGCAAATTTCACGTGAATCTTTGAACATTGAGATTTTCGAGAACACGTGACACGTATTTTCTTGTAAAATAAAATATATGAGAAACATAACACGCTCGTAAAATATAACAATACGACATAATAATAATGTACGCAGTATAATGATATTGCAAAATTAATTTGTTGGGTTAAATCGTATTGGCGTATAGACGAACGTCGTGGGAAACTGGCGTCTGGCCGAGTTTCGGGGGATGACGGGAAAACGAATAAAAATTCGCGATAAAGCGAGAACCACTGATCCTGGAGAGGAGAATATCCTACGAGCCGGGTTTCCTGCAACGCACGGTCAATAAAGCAGCTGTACGCGTCACGGACGCGCGTGTGGAGGCACCGCGGAGTCTCTCACGTCGTCTGTAACTTTCGTGAACTTGTATAATAGTGCGATGAACTCGCCGCTTTATCTCTCTCCATGGTACGGCGATAAGAATAATTGGACGTAAGACGGCACGAGAGGGGCGGAGGTCTCCGTTGCGTAAAATTGCAGGTCATTCGCGCAGTCCTCCGCTATCGAGCGTATCTACAGTTTTGGGTTACGTAACGTATAAAATCGCCGTCAAGACGTCTTCTCGCGTAATTTTATGGACGAAACGGATCGTCGCCGGCAGCCTTCTTTAAATTTTAATGTTTCTCGTCAGCGGACTTCGATGCAATTAACTCGATTGTTTATTTCTTATTTTCGTTGACTCGTTGTGCAAGCTACACCAGCCTGTCGGATAGGATTAATCTGAAGTTTATTGAGATTAATATTTGTTACTTATTCGATAATTATACGGTGTGATATAATTATTCGTTCTATCGATCTAATTTATCCGCATCCTGCAATTATGCGTGTGTAAACTTCTAATAATCGACTATCCTCATGATGAAATTAGCCACTTATGTAATACAACTGAAATTTAGTTACCGGATCTCGTTTTTAGCTGTGAGAGCTAAAAACTAGATGCAGGGGCAAAATGAATTAGCTGAATTAATTAAATTTCAGTTTGCGTTATATAGACAGCTAATTTTCACTAGAGTTGTTAATCTCCGATCATTTTTAAGCTACGGAGTTTTAACAGAATTCAAAGCTGCGAAGGAAATTCGGTACTTTCGAATTTTGGTGAAACGAAGCTTCGAAGAGTATAATCCATAGACATTATATAGTTTGAAAATTTTATAATTCTCCAATGTTTCGAAGTTTCGGAGATTCGATATTTTCGAAATTCGAATAATGAATACCGAAGCCTCGGATCTTCGGAGATTCGAAATTTGAATGTCAGAGCTTTCGGAAGAAAACACTAGTCCTCATTTTTACCCGTGGTATCTAATTTTTAACCGTGATAGCCTAATTTTTAGCTGTGGGAACTCATTCTTTCTCTCGCACGATTTTCACACAAATAGCTCAGTGCGTGTCTCTCTTTTCCCGTGTCACAGATCTCGTGATGCCACCGCCGTATCACCGACTTCGTTAGCGGCGGGCCCTCGCAATGGCCTCGATCTTGGGAGATGGAACAGGCCCAGGTGGCCCCGGGCCCTCCAGATGCCTCTTGCTGCTGCAGAGGTCCTTGGCGATTCAGTTGACCAGGGGCCCGCCACCTCATATCACGAATACCGGCCAACGGGAGAGTCCGAAGGAGCATCCGGCCGATGAGATGTGGATGTACGATAAGGGTTACAATCTGTTTCAGGTGAGTAGACACGTCGTCGTCGCGTTGTCTCGTATCCCGTTTCAACTTTCCTAGCCGTTGTCGGAACTACTCTATCTTTCGCCGGCAACAAACAACGCGCGCGCGTTTGACGTTTCCGCGAGCAACGTCGCGTGCTTCTTTCGCTCGGAAGATCGTCGGCGCCGGAAAAGTTTCGTGGAAGCGAACGTCGGAGGTAGAAAGAGAAAGAGAGAGAGAGAGAGTCGCGACGTCCGTCGACTCCGCTCCGTCGACGCTCCGTTGCTCGCTTTGTTCCTTCCACTTCGCCGACGCGCCGGTCCTTTACGGTAAAGCGGACGTTGATTGCCCGCACCGTTACGCCACAATGAGACAATGTGAATTACGAGCAATTTCGCAAAAGTAAGCATAATCGAGGAACGCCGGGTTAAACGGCGGAAGCTCGTTCTCGCGGCGGCGTCATCCGGCCCTTCGACAGTAAATTTCTCGTTTTACGTCCAGAATTCCTGCCACGGATGGGGCGAAACGAGATGCCCGCCGCGGACGACCACGGCGGCGCCGCGCGCCTCGTAATCCACCGGCGTCTCGGACTTATCGCCTCTTCAATGCGTAACATGTAAACGTTGAATATTCAACGGCGCGGCGCGTCGTCGTCTCGTCTGGAAAATCGTATTAATCCCACTGCCGACTCACGGCCGCGCTCACGAGAGCGAATTTTATCCGAGACACGAGATGCTAGCTTCCCACGTAACGCGATGAAAACGAGATCGAAAAAGGGAAGGGAGATCGACGAGGAATAAGAGGTAGATCGGGGATTAGGCGGGTGAGGAAACGAAGCTGGTACGTGACTGTTCGCAATAACGAAGTGCTCTCACTTTTCAACGAGTACGCACTCGACGGAGGAGCATCCTTGCGGAAAAGTCAACGAGCGGGCCTCTCGTTTTCAGAGTTAATAAGGAACGCCGATGCCGTGACAAAGCGAGGGTACTGAATCGTTGAATATGCAACAATAGCTTCTTTTCGGGTTCTTAACTCACCACCCACTCGGCGACTATCTCGCGAAAGCAACATCGTCATGATCTTTCGATCCCACACAGTACAGATGTAAAAATCGAAGAAATTTGAATTTTTCTTTTATTTGAATGTATAACGCAAGTATTCTTGGCACGCGTTTCCTCGCTTCTGACGTCATCTCAAACAAGGACTCTTAATGAAAGAAATGTATCGGTATTTTCGCTAAGGGCCGACCTGCCTCAAATGCAAACGACTCATTCGCGAAAGAAAGAGCCGGAGAACCGAGGACACCCTGTATATACGTAGAAGTAGGAAATCGCGCTGAGCGTTCGTACGAGAAGAGATACGATCTCGAGGTCGTAGAGTGAATTAGATCGACGTCCTATAATTGTTAAGTCAATTAGACGTTACTGCAGAAACCGTCCGTGTGTTCTATCGGTATTGTAGTTCCGCGTGGATTCGCACCATATATACTGACCGCTTCATCGGTGTCTGCGGATAATAATCGATCGGCGTAGATACGATCGCTTTTCAAAGGAACGATCGTCATAAAGGCTTGTGTAGCGCAGACCGCATCGATACCATGATACCATGTACGCGCGCGCGCTCGCTTGGTTTCGAACGTTACGTCCGAACTTTGTATTCGTGCGGTTAATTTTATCTAAAGAGCACACACGCTGCGTTAAAATATTCGCCATTCGTTGTAAGCCGTCAAGATATACTTAAATTAGTAAAAACATTTCATTTAAGAGGCTGAGAAACAGGTAATTACGTCTACTTAATTCTAGCATTTTTCTTTTTCGCACACGAGTTGATCGAAATTGCAACGTTCGCGCGAATTATTCCTTGCGGTTACCGGAGACGTCCGATTCGTCTCGTTGAGGAAAGCAAGAATGACGAAGGGACGACAATGCGGACTCGTTACCGCGAGAATCTCGCGTTACTAAATAACAGGGCATTGTTCGGTACGGCCGTCGATCCGCGAAGTTGTTTACATGATTCATCGGGGCAGGGGGGGGGGGGCTTTTCAGGTGCAGGCCGTATTCGAGAGTAGACGCTTTACGCTTCCTCGACGACTCTCGCGCACTGCCGCCGTGCGCGCTCGTTGTGACGTTTTTAAATCACTGTTATTACGATACACCGATCGCGTTTCGCCTCGGGGATGGTCGACGCAGCGATCTGGCGGACACTTTCCATCCGCGTGGCGATTTCCGTCACGAGCGCGGCGAGCTGCGCCGCGCCGCAAAAAGCACGGCGATGGTTCGCCGTCGTGCTGCTACTCGGCGGCGACTGTGTAACCGCACTCTGTGTGTGTGTTGTGTGTACCAGTTTGTCACATTCGCTCTTTTACATCACGTTCGCGCGGGTCGACGGTTCATTGCAAAAATATCCGACTGATTAGCGCGTGGATATTAACTCTTCTCGCGTGATATAGTAAGAGTAACTCTCATTAATTTTCTCGATTTTTCATATCTTCATTCTTTCACTTTTAACATATGTTAATTTTTCGGAGAACGAGTGAAAAAATTGTATATCGAAAATGCGGATAAGCGACGGCGGCTGTCGCGAACGATGCGTCTCAGGTGCATAAATCGTAATCTGAAAAGGAGATCGGAGAGCGAGAGGAGGTTTCGCTCGGTTACGATCTATCGCGAATATCGTCGGAGCGTAATAGCCACTCGGCGGAGACCGAGCAACGGCACCCAGAACGTAACTAGTGCACGGCACTTACGAACAGAACAATAAAGTCAAGTGCGTATCGTTCGAGCGGGTCGGACGGTGTCGGTTGGCGAGGGTTCGGCCAAGGTTCAGCTACCTCTCGGCTTCTCCGTTCATCGACGTTTTCATCGGCGGCGCGTCGTCTCGCTCGCGCAGCAAGCTGGATCCTCCTCGGCGTCGTCGTCTACGTCTTCGTAGTCGTCATTCTCGTCGCTGTCAACTTCGTAAATCAGCGCCGCGCAGCGTATATCGCGGCCCGGCTCGACTTTTATCTCCCGCCCAAGAGAACTCGTTTATCCGCGGGATGCCGTCCGCCTCGAAACGGCTTCTCGCGCGATCGTCTATTTGCTCGCCGATTTAATTGCGAAAACGCTCGCGCAGGAAGGGGTGCCCTTTTCTGTGTCTACCTTGACTGCCGCAGCCCTTACTGCTCGCAGCATGTAACGAAAATAAAACACAGAAGCTAATTCCGTGGAAATAATATCAATTTCAGAGTAATTATTAAGAGAGATAATAACATCAATAATATTATCGTCGTTTCTAAAAAAGAAATATTTGTCCCAGTGTGATATAATAATTCTTTTCTCTTCTTTACAAGGATTCCATTCTACTCGCGAGATCTCCGTTTTACGCCTCCGACTCGGTTCTGCTGGCGAGGAGGAAGCGTTTCCCGGAGGTCGTCGATTCGTGACGCGGTTTCTTTTTCCCGAAGGGTGCCCCGATATCGATTCGCAAGCGAGACTGCACGACGGTCGACGCCTATGTGCGCCGACTATATAACTACACCCAGTTAGAGAGATCCCCGCGTCTCCTGCGCGCAGAGCGTACTCTCGCGTGCGAGAGCGCACTCGCGATATTAGCATATAAATTATGTTATCGTGATTTATGCTCGCAGTCTGCGTGCCCACACGGGCTATAGGGGGTTGATGATTAAAATTCGAGACGACCGGCGAGAACGCCTTGACGCCTGTCATCCGGTAATAGCTGATAAATAGATCAATTTCGCAACGGCCTTCGGGGACTGGACGTCGCGCGAGACTTTTTCGCGAAAAAAAAAAAAAGAAAGAAAAACAAGACGAACGAAAGCCGCTAAGACTGCGTATTGCGACGAAGCAGAGCGAGCAGACGAGCGGGGTCATGTCAATCCATTAGTGCTCTTCGTTAAAATACAGCGAAGCCCCGGAGTTTAACCGGCAATTTCAATCGTCGACAAACGCCGTGTAACGCTCGGGTTAAACGTTATTCGCGAATGTTAATGCAATAGACCCCTGATAGGCCGGCGAAACGGAGGCTCGGTGCAATAATATCGCGGCGAATGGCAGCAATAACTTTCTGGCATACGTATTTCGTTCGAGTCCGTTAACCGCTCACGTTCCGCGCGCGGCAGCGCGTCTCGGTTAGGGCTTTAAAAGGATAAGCGTACGCGAGCGTGCGCGCGGGCACGCAGCGCGAGTATATTGCATAATAATTAACGGCCAGCCAACGACCGTACAACACCCTATAGACCGTGTATTGCCGCAAGTTCATTGCCGGCACGGAAATCGCAATATGTACGTTACGTGCGCAGCGCGCACCGATTAGCGATAGAAGCCTCTCGGCTCTGTTACTTTCTACACCTAGCCGCGATTTATTCTCTCGCCACCTCCTCAGCTTCGCCGAAAGTCCGCGAGCAAACACACACACACACACGGGTTCGTTTGATCCCGATCGTTAAAAGTCCGCGGACGAAGAAGAAGCGGCCCCGAGAAACTAGCTAGCTTCTTTCGTCGTTCATCTCGCGCCGTTCGCATCGTAAATCGGTGGGCCGAAAAAGCGCAATCTCCGAGCCGTCTCCTCCTCCGGTCCGGCACTATCTCTCATCGTGATCCCGCTGCTTTCCAAATATTCACCCTCGACGGGGAATATCCCGTCGCCGATTCTCTACGTTTCGCTATTCCCCCGAGTAATCGATATCTGTAGGTTATAATCTTCTCGGGCAGTTAGGGGCCACAAGGTTGAGGAGAGATACGAGATAATCGCCGGGATATCTTGTCGTTTCCTCGGTGTCGTCGAATTTATTCAATACACCCGGGACCGTTATTACGAGGAGACCTAACGATCAGGCTGAAGTTTTATTACGAGATCTCATGTAGTTTCTTCCTTCCTTTTTTTCTCTGGGATTACCTCTTCGCGTTGTAGCTATTGTACGGGATTAATACGCAACGTTCGCTGTTCGTGGATTACGTGAGATCACGCGAATTTATGAAGCGCCATTCCCGAGCGGAGATAACGTTATCGAACGTGGGGCACGACGTACGAGCCGCGATACGGTAACGTCAATTTGTATTTAGCGACGGTAGTATCAAAGCTCGCTTTTTTTTCGCACAGTTAGCTGGCGCGCCGCTGGGATACAGGAGACATGGTGGCTGGTTCAGCACTAATTATGGTTAACTCAGAACTGTCGCACTCTCACGGTTAGAGTCCTCCCATGGACAATATAAGAGCGTCTACTTTATCAGCATATCCTGTCGCCCACCCCACACGCATTCCACGACGCAACACGATATTTTTTCACGTCCGCACCGACTTTCTTGCTTATGCGGAGCGACGTCGACATTATTCTGACGAGAAACGCGACGTATGTTTGGGACATAACGTATATGAGTTACTTTTACATACGATGCATGCGTAATTAACCTTTCGAACGCACTATGGGTCAGGTAGACCCGGTGAATTGTGTTTGAAGAATTTTTCAATGACTTAAAATTTCACTTTCTATGAACGCATGATCAAACATTAAAGTAAAAAAAAAAGTTACCCTTTATTCTAAGATTGTCAACCTCTCTTTCCTTTCACAATTTTTCAGATATGGAATATAGGATATCAACATGACCCTATTTGCGATGCGAACGACTTTTCAGAAGTGTACGGTCGAAGTATCAAAAAAGGATGGAATTTTTAGTCGAACGCAGATCGGACATTTTCTCGATTGTACGGAATAAATTCCGTAGATTATACTTTCGACTTTGTTGTTACAATGCCATTCGACATTAAGGACGTTTCCGTATAATCTAGCCGGTTACGAAAGAGACGATTAAGACGGACAAAATTTTCTTAAAATTGCGAAAGTGGCGCTTTTCTCCGTTTACCGTGTTCAACCGGGCGGAAAAAACGAAGCGTCAAGTAATTCGATTGTGGAAGGTGTCTCGATCGCGGGAGAAAGAGACCGGGGAAGGTAAGTACGATCTCGTGAAATCGATCGTGTCCGCTCGGTTGATTCGACACCGTGCTCCCACGTGCTGCCGCGCGCGCGCTCTCGAGGAAGCAGCTTGACGTAATCGAAAAGTTTCACCTGCTGAAAATCGCAGTCTGTCCGGGCGATTTAATAAACCGGTGCTGCGCGCTGCACCTTTATTATAATCTCTTCCTCGACGGATCGTCGAAAATCTGCGTTCCGTTTCGCAATCGCGCCGCTTGCGAAAGTCGAGTTGTCGTTCGCGCCGTTGTAATAAGCCGAAACGAAAGAATTCCATTGTGATCGAAGGCGCGCTCGTGACGTTAAGTAATATCATCGCGACGTGCGATTCGCGGCGATGTCGGCGGCGGATCGCCCTCAACGCGAAAGTATGCGATTGAATCTGGAAATCACGGAGCGCGGTCGCTTGCGCAATACCGAGCAACGAAACAGCGATCACGCAAAAGATGATGTGCGCGGCGTTACCGCCCGCATAGAACATTTCTTTGGATCCGAATACACACGGGAAAATACACGCTGCATTCAAGTGAACATTATCCTCGTTTCAGATATTCCGAAGTTCGTATATACCCATGAATATATCTCATAAGTTCATCCGTTGACCACAAATATATGAGTTAAAACAAGAATTTAGTAAAAAAATTATTAATATTAAAGCAAAAATTTAGTAGAGAAATTATTCAGCTAATTACAGCTAAATAGTTTTTGTCACTGTCATTTCAATGCAAAAAATAAATAAATAGAAAAATTAAAATTCCAAAAGGATGCAATTATAATGAGAAATTTCTTGACAAGTGCATTCGGTCAAACTGTCGCTCGACTCTGGCAATGACAGCCACACGCGGCACGAAGCAAGCCGCAGCGCGCATAGCTAATCGGCATCGCAGAAAATAGGCTTCGTTCCACGTTTGGGATAAGTATGGGGCTCCTAATTGGTATCATAATGAGACAATCTGTCTTGAGATAAATTTGAGTACTCTAATTGGAATCTGCGCTGTATCTGGGAAGATCAGGAGAGATTTCTACGCGGGCGCGATCGCAAAAGTTTCACGGACGGATCGTTTCACAGCAGGTCGAGTGCACGCGCGAACACCGGAGAGCGGAGTACGCTAATACATCCTATCGGCGACGGGATGCGGAACGCGCAGCCTTGGCGAGGGTGGACGGTTTGCGCTGCACCGTTGCACAGGCACAAAACGAGCCTGGCCGTTCTCGCGAATCAGATCGATCGCGGACGTGTAATTTGCAGCGGCACGGAGGTTCCGTCATTTGGTAGTAACTCTGCCGCCTGCCGTTGCCGCTACACGGACTTCCAGATGGTGAAAGTCCGGGATCCTACGCTCTTACCCTGCGCTAGATGCAAAATCATCATCTTATGCGCGCGCGCTCGCGGCGCGCATTGTGTTCTTTACGTGGGATTAAATTAAACTCCGTGCCTCGACGTTTCTGTCGCCGTCGTTTCCTCGTTTGGTCGAAATCGCGGGGATCGACGCCACTGCGAGATTCTAACGATCGCGTTGTACATTATCCTACAATACATTGTTCCACCCACACCACGGCGATTGTTGCAGATCGGCGAAATTTAATCATCCATTCGATTCCACGATATAGATGTTTTTTTTTTTTTCGCAATAAGATATGCCTCTCGTGTCGAAGACGGTTGCCGATCAAGCTGTGAAGCGCAACGCGCGGATGCAATAAATTAACATTCTCACGCCGAGAAAATCCGATGATGTATGATCGGATAATCCGATTAAAAAGTAATAAATGGATCTATCCGATCAAGCTTTTATCTGATGAAAATTACAACGGATGTACAAAGGGCGACTAATTTTCCGATCGGGTTTTATTAAATATATAATAAATTTATCGAATACTTCGTTGGATAAAGGTATCCATCCACTCGAACGGATAATAAAAGTAACGATCGAATACATCATTTTCAATCGGTTTATCCGATGGAAATTTTTCTCAGCCCATGAAGAATCTCTCTCTGTGTATACACATATGTAGTCGCTGTTCGCGATAGGAAAGCACCGTAACACTTTTCGTCTATCCGGGGAATGATCGCACGACCGTATGCGCAGCGACTTGCAATAAATCAGCACGGCTCGTGCCGATCGATTCCGGCACTCCGCACTAATTTCATGATTTAGCCGGACGCGAAGTGGGCAGGATGCAGGATCAGGGAAAAATCCCGAAGGGCGGCTCGTTTATGAGCATTGTCCGGGGCTCTCGACCCTATCACGGCTCATTCTGCGAAGCGAAACTACGACGGGGATTCTACGAAGCGCCCGGAGCTGGTAGGGGCTGCTTCGCCCCGGGTTATGACGAGGGTGAAACGCCATACGGTCCCCGTGGAGATAAACACTTAGCGACCGCGCTATATTTTAGGGGATAACTCGCGGCCTTCTGCCTGCGCGACGTGTAACGGCTTTCTTTATTGGTAATGCGGAATGCATGCGAGGAGTGTGCGAATGACAGTTATTACGCAGTTACAGGATTTTGCGGACGCGATATTTTTCTGTTGTAAACCTTCCTGGTCCGCGGGAAAAGAAAGCGTATGGGATTTTCGAGAACGAATGAATGGAAATGAAGCGGTAGAAATATCTCGAATCGAGTGATCAGAAACAGGGAAATGAATTCTTTTATTTTAACCCTCCGCTATCTATATTACTGCGCTCAATTTTAATCTTCAAGTTTCTGTTTCAAACTGTTTATAAGAATTGATACTTCATGACTTCTTATTTTTCACCAGAAATCTTTTTCCCTGCGTAGAGATCGACTGCGTAATTATTCGAATAAATGTTGCCGCGTTGCGAAAACGTGGGTGGTAATCGTTACTTTTTTATTTGTTGCAGAGCTTCTTGGAAGCGAATTCCAAGTGCTGGTGGAACGCGGCTCTGGTGGACGCGACTCGGCAGCTCAGGTACAAGGGCCACGTGTCACCGGGCGTGCTGATGGTTAGCGGACCGCCCTGCGCCCTCGAGGTCTTGAGGGCGGCATGGGCGCGAAACGTTTTACGACCACCCGCCGACCACTCGATCACCTGTCTCGGTATGTACCGTCGAATTAACCCTTTCGCTGCCCGAGGGCCGATTTCGTACCCGGCTGCCTCGTAGTCGGCGATTGCACACGCGTGTGCACACACCGCGCCACCGGCCAGAATCAAAGTAGTTTTATTCAAACGGATTCCGAGTCGCGCGCAAGATAATCGAAGAGTTTAATTAGAGATAAAGCGATCGTGAAAGTGAAAGTGAAAGCGCCGATATTTTACAACAGCGGCTTCTTACGAGAGGGAGGAGAGAGAGGGAGAAAGATAATCCTGCGTGATCCTGGTTCCGCGCTCGAATTCCGATGCCAATGGGACGCTTTATGCGCGAAAATGACGTACGAGCTTAATTTCGCGCGATCATCTCTCTTTCTCTCCTTATCGCTCCTTTTTGCCTATAGTCGCGAGGTGCCGAGGCGCGTGCGAATACTGAGGCAACCTGTCTCGGTCGAGACAAGCCCGGGGATACCCAGCGCATTCCTGGATTACACCAGCTCCTATTCTTTATCCGCGTGCGAGACCTCCACTTATCGCCACTTATCGCCACTATTCGACATTAACACGCGCAACTTGATTTTTTTCCGATCTACGAAAAGATACGCAAGGTACAAGGTGGGATCTGATAATTCCTCGCACGGTCGGAAGGAACCGCAAATTATCCGGATTATCCTAGACTCGACTCGAGAGCTACAGCGATAAATCGGCCTTCAGAAGCCGACGGTTTGCGGACAAAACGCCCGGATAACGGAAAGTGTCCGACCTGGGTGCGTTGCTCTCCTTATCCGCGCATCTCCCGTAACTCACGCCTGTCGTCGGTGTGCCGCGAACCGCGGAAATAGCTTCGCCTTCGTCTCACGCGGCTTATCGGCTAGCTCGTGCATTCGTACGCCCCCTTGCCCCCCCCCCCCCGCTCCCTCACGGTTTCCTTACATACAGTACTGTCGTCCCACCCCCTTCGTCCTTACACCAGCCTTTTCGGCCCGGTCGGTCGGTCGGTGTCCCCGCCGTCTGTTTCCACCTCCGCCGTTTCTTCCCGATCTTATTGCTCCCTTTATGCCCCTCGCGCTCGTATCTATATACGCCTACGCTCGACTATCTCGCATACCGGGCTTATGCTAATGCACGCGCGCGGATACGCAACGGCGTAGGAGCCCGTCTCGTTATTACGGCTGGCCGTAATAGCGAAAACGCTCTCGCGAAAACGAAAGAATATTTATGCGCGCGATAAAGAAACCCCGCGCGAACTCTATCCGGATGGGAAAGCGACCGGCGCGAATAAAAGTCGCTGTCTCACGGGACTCGTCACTTGTCTTTAAAGATTTAGAGAGAGAGAGAGAGAGAGAGAGGGGGTGCGCGTAGAGATACAGAATATATAGAAGATATACAGAAGCTAATAGACCCCTCCTTCATGATATAACATAATTATCAAATGATCTCTACAGTCAATTATATTTCTATTTTCACGAAATATTTGCGAAAAAAATATTGGAATAACCATTTCACTTGGATCAAGAGAATATTACTTGAACGTTAGCACTTCTTTTTTCACTGTAGATATCGTATTGCTATATGATATCGACGACGACGCGCGAACGCAACGCGCACGAGGTAACGTCAGAATGTTAAATCGCGACGTTTCCTAATTAGATAACGAACGTCGCTGATCAAGCGCGTCGCGGGCGCGGTTTAATTGTGGTAAATTACGCGGCGGGGATAATAAAGTGATTTTATTAAACCCGGCTCGCTACCGACGACGATGTGGCGATGCCAGTTGGCGAGCTTTCCGGTTCGTGCCTCCGTGTAAAACGAGCTTGGTTAACATTCCGCTATTTGCCGATCGCTCTCCTCGCCCGGCCGGCGCGGCATAATACGCGTCTTATATGCGCGTCTCTATGCGCGTGCAGTAATGCGGGCTTCGCGCTGCCACATAATTGGTCTGTCGTCGTCTACCTCGCGGAGATGGCCGGTTGCTTATCCGACCTCTTTATTTCTCACGTCGTTTCCCCCTCCCCCCTTCACTCGCGACAACGGCGAAATCCGCGGCGCGTCGCATGATTTTCCAGTTAGCGGCGTGTCGGTGACTTTCCTGAAACGCGTCGACGTGGCGCAACGTGACTGCGCTCAATGCGTGTCGCGGTGTGTGCGATGCGTATTGCGCGACGGCTCATTAACAAGAAAATCACGCACGCCCCGTCGTCTTTTTAATTTGCACGGCGGTTTCGCGGAGACGCGCGCCTGTGTCGAAGACGCGGACCTGAGATAAGTTGTACGTACACACGCAGCCCTCGGCTGGGGGTAAACACGAAACCTCGCGTTTTTTTTCTAAAGCGCAGGCCCGGGTTCGCTTCTTCCATTTATGGTTCGTATTGGCGGGCGAGACGAATGAGGAGGGAAGGAGGGGCCGACTTGAAATTGCGCGACCGTTTCGCGAAGCTTTCCTCGTGATGCGGGTAGGGAGTGGCTCGAGGTGCTTATTCGAAAAAAAAAAAATGATCGGCGCAACGCGCTCCACATAGGAACGGCCCGATTGGTACGCGAGTCGCATGCCGGTATCCTGCATCCTCGCGTCGATGGGCGCAGCGAAAGGGACGGCGCGCGCGTCTGGAATGCCGACCTTCCCTCTCGCCTCCGTCCCTAACTGAAATCCATACGGTGCGCTCTCTCACGGGGTGATAAATCGGCCTACGGTGTACGACAGTAGCGGCATTCCAGGCCGATCGATTAAGTCGGTTACCTCGATGGAGACGCGTGCCCGATAGTGGCGCGGGTTCCTTTTCCTCCGCAATTTCCATTTCGCGACTCCTTCCTTCGCGTTCTCCTCCGTACAATTCGTTCAATTCCTCCCCCCAGCGATTCGCTTTTCTTTCCGCGCGACGAAGATCAGCGCGACTTATAATTAATAAGAGGAACGCTCCGCGAGCTGATTCGGCACTCACCATGTCGCGTCGAAGTCCACCGGTGTCTCTGTCACCTCGATTGCTCCGCTAACGCGTCCTAGATAGCGAAATATCCAAAATCGGGACACAAGGCGTCTTAAAGAAGTCTTAAAGATATCTTACGTCTCGATTTTGGATGTTGTGTCTGGACGTGCTCCGCGTCCGGAACTTTCAACTTCCAGTTCTCTCTGTGCGCCGTTCTACATCGTTCCACGTCTGCATTTCACTTCACTGTAACATTCACCACGTGATACATTTTAATGACGTCGGACGAAACCGGAATTTACGAATTTATTTATCTCTAGTATAGATAACGATACGGTTACGATAAATATCGATAACTGGGTCGCACATTCGCGGCCCGCGAACCGTGCGTGAGAAATTACGAATGGTAAACCGAGCGTGTTGTTTCGACAAAGTCGCGCAGACAGTGAAGAAAAAAATATCCCTCTCGCGAATTCTAATTTTGAAGTTTACAATGATCAATACATGGAATTCTCGACGAGAATTTTATCTGATTATTTAATCGTGTCGCGTCGTGAAGTGCATTTTATGAAAGTATCTCTGTTTGCGATTACTTAATTTGCCGGAAAGCGTAGCGATATCAACGGTATCGCGATTCAATAATTAGAATGAGACTTTTTATGCTTGTTAGTGAATTACGACTATTTCGTATGATTTATAACATCCTAAAAACCGGGATAAAATAATTTTATCGCAACCTGAACTCGGTCTGGCAGTAATGCGAACGGGAATTGCGCAATAAATTGTGTGTATATCTCTGTGTATGTGCATGTTATGTAGTTATCCATGTGTTATTATTATTATTATTATACTTTGTGCGCACAAAGTGTTTAATGGTGAAATGCTGATGTTTACCTGTTTCTGACATCTAACGCACTAGCTTGTTTAAAATGCGAGTCGCGGACGCTAATGCGGGCCAGATCAATGTATCAAGGAGATAAGGAGCTCGAATGGAACGAACGGGGGATTCGTAGGACGTGCCGGAACGGACGGGGCTGGGAAATTAATAGCGCCGTATCGACACATCCAGTTATTTCTACTTCGAGTCTACTATAAATAGGCACGTTCGCACGCGGTAACGCGGAATGCCGCCGCTCGTACATATATACGTACGTGTCGACTTGATCACGGCGATTGCGATTCAGCATTTTTGTTCAACGAGCCAGCAAGTGAGAGAAAGAGAAAGAGAGAGAGAGAGAGAGAGAGAGAGAGAGAGAGAGGAGGAGAAGAAAGAAAAAGAGAGGGGAATACGCGCCTCATTCATTATATGTATTGACTGGCTGCAGACGTTGTTAAGATGCGCAAAAGATTCACGTTAGCGCTGCTCGTACCTCGACGAAGTATGCAGTCGCATTTTATGATGATGAGCGAACGGCGACCTGCGACGACGACGTGCTTTACCGACGTAATCGCGACGTACCTTCACGTACCTGCCTATTCACACGCATTCTATTTTAATGCGAAACCCCGCGAGAATCCCTCGATGGTTTCGTTCGCAATTTCGAGTTTTTATTTTTTTTCATTTAATTAATTTTATTTTACCTTTAATCACTAAGCGGTCGCGCGAAACGTGATACAAAAGTTGAATCTGAAACGTATAATTGGATCTGATAATGGCGAATCTAAACCTCGCAAGACATAAAGAGATGTGTCGTTATGCGTGAGTAATCACGTAGACGAGGTGGTGAAATCGACGCGGCGATGTTATGACTTATAACTTGAGCAATTCAACAATTTCCGGAGCATGCAATGAAATGCTCCGTAGCGTTGGCATTTACCTCTCGTCACGGTTTGGACGCGTGTAACCGTAGGAGGAGAAAATGCCTGCGGTACTGCTTGGAACGCTCGAATCTGTCCATCACGATCGGAACGTGTTTAAAGGACACGAGGGTGCGACTCGACTCGTTACGGGCCTGACGAACGAGATTCCAGCGTCCCCTTGGCCGTTGCTGGCCGACCCGGTTCCATTGACATTTTCACGACGGGCGCTTATCGATTACTACTTTCAACTTGATTTTTCTCCGTCGAATCATCCCTCTCTCTTTGTCAGCCGAGCGAGCAGCCAGATGTGTACAGATACCGATCTCTCATTCGGCTGTTCAGCGGCGAATGAGCCCGGGCTGCTCACATTCTGCGTTTCTTCGCGTCGGACGGAGGTAAGCCGGGAATCTGACAGTCGCGTTTAGCGACTGCTAATAAATGCGAACCGGGAACACGGTGTCGATGCCTCAACGCCGCTCGCTCTAAACACGTCTCTGCGCGAGTAATCGTAAGGTCGGTCAGCCTCTCACGCCACAGGGTCCTCCCCCCTCTCCCCTTGTCACGATTTTGCTATTCGCCCGATCGGAATAAGCTTTGACGTATGATTACCTTTCTCGCGTCAGAAAAAAGTTCTTTTCACCATTTGATTAGCGGCGAGAGATTTGTGCGCGAGCACGCCGCGCCGCGCTGCCGCCCCGAACGTATAATCAGTACGTCAGTATCTGGCGAGTATTGCGAATTAAGGACAAGATCGAGGAGAGCAACTACGTCCTCTGAAATTCGCACCCTCTATAATAACGCGACTCGTGATTCCTATAAGTTCCCCTCGAAATTTTTACCTTCGTTCTTATGTCTGTGTGTAACATTCTTACTACGATGTGTTATTGCAGAGATCCAGTAGGGAGATCCTTTTTTACGTCCGTTAACTTAACACTCTCACCGCTAGAAATCAAATTCGGACTTATCGCATGATTAAATGTTAATTCATTGCTAATCCAACTACTGCAGTCCCGAATTCATTGTTCTTCGTGAAAAATTAATTTAAAAATGTTGGGAGTACTGACTTGCGTTACGGTTACGCCAGTACCACCACTAATGAAAACCACACAGAGGGTATTGAGAAAATAATTTAAAAAAGCAATATGTCAGAATTAATTGCTATTTAATTGTTCTAAAATACGAACAGAAATCAAAAGTATTCAACGGGTCAAGAAATATCATAGCTCCACTCTCAGCAATTAATTCTGACATATTGCTTTCTTTAAATTAGAATGCTCTATGTATAGTTTTCATCGATGAGGTTAGCGTAACGGCAAATCATAGATAAGGGCGGTAGATTCGGGGTAATTAATTAGCAACTAATTAGCACTTAATTACACTCCGATAGGCCCGAATTTGACTTTTAGTGAGTACCCAAGTCAACGGGCGTGATTTTTTTGGCTTTCTTTATGCGAGAAGCAGAGCCGCAAAGAACTAGCAAAGGAGATGCCCCGTTGCTCCGAATATCGCCGAGAATGAAAAGGGGGGAACCACCTGACGAGCCACCTGCCGTTAATTAAGCTTAAGGGCTCGTAAAAGAGCTCGCCTCTGCGCCAACCCCTCTCCGTGTCCGAAGGGGAGAGTTTCAGCGGCATCTGGAAAAAAGCTACGGTACACGAGGGAGCTCCCACGGTACTGCGATTCCCTGCTCCGCGTGTGCAAACGTGAGCGCGAGTGAAATGACAGAGCCGAGTAACGAGCTATCTGTCTATCCATCTACCGCAGCGCAAACGTTTGTAGGCCCATCGATGTATGCCACGGTATTTTCGAGTGGCAACTTCCTGCCGAGTGTGTCAGCTGGATCCTGGGCCGCCTCGTCGTAGATCGACGATTACCACGATGATGATGGTGGGGTCGAGACACGACATACTTCGCTATTACTCGCTCCATCCTGCCGTTCTCAAGACGTTACTCGGACGTTTCTTCCACGGAGAGCCGTTCGATGCTAGCTTGACGCGAGCGCGTATTCCTATTCGTATTCATAATTCGTCAGCGGCTGACGATTCGCTCGCGCGCGAGAGAGAGAGAAATTGCGAGGAGAGGTCGAGGGAGAGGGGCGAAGACATACCGTGACTTTCTTATTAGATAAATAACAACCTGTTGCGCGATTCCGTAAGAAAGTGGCGGGAGTCCCTCGAGCTGGCACCTGCAACGGCCGGAAGTGGCCGGAAGTTCGCGATATTTCCCACCTCACCTTTTTTCGAGAGGCTCGGGCGCGCTTCGTAGGCGCCTCGGCCTCGCCGTTTAACCGTCTATATAATTATACTCGTGTAATTACACGCGTATCTCTCCGCGCGTCGGATAATTGCGCGAAAACTAACCGATCAGTTTACCCGGCGATATATCTCTCTGTGCTTTCTTGGCGGATCTTTTCTACAGATTATCATCGCGCACGCGGCGCATCAGTCGGTAAACATCGTAAAATATCGCCCGGCCGCGTTTTGCTCCGAATAATTGTAACATCGTGAAACATCTGGGCTTCAACGCGGCTCGTTACGCAGCTGAATGGCCGCCGACTTCACCGTGGCCGATTAGTACGGATGCGAGAGCGAGGCGGTCGCGGCGTTTAAACGCGATCGCGCAATTAGACGGGGGATTTTAAGACCGGTAGCGCGAGGGAGAGTATCTCTCGACGAGAAGGAGGTAAAACACCGCCGGCTCGAGTCGCACGAAACACCGACGGCCGGCGTGAACGGAGATTGCCGTTGAGCAACCGCGGATAATTGCATCGGCTAATAAATTAATCCGAGACCACCTCCCTCGCGCGCACGCCCACGAGCAAGAGGCGCGTGGTATCGCCTAAGTCGCTAATAAGCATCTTGCGCCATTCCGCGCGATTGTCTAGGTCAAGGCGTTCGCTCTTTTAGATACCTCGATACACCGAAGCGCGCACTCGCGAACGTTACTCCTCAGAATGCGATCAATGTATTCAACACACAGTAAAAAATATTGCGTTAAATTTGCCACGTTTCACATGTCCCAAGCGGTCCACGCATAATTCTCGGTTGAATTTACCGCAGTTTAGCAGACCGCTGACCGAGGCGTTGACAATGCAATTTGATCGGTACCAAACACATTTTAGGGAGCGAACGCGTGCGTCACGTTGTCACACATGTGCAACGTGTGCGGATGGGTGTCAAATTTTAACGTGTATTACCCCAATCTCATTTCAGAACTGCGAGAGGAGAGAGATCGCTGTTCTCTTCTGCTTCCCCCCGAAGCACGCGCGGATAATAAACGCAAAGCCACCCTTTTTCGATTAAGCAGCGTGCCCGGCAGCTGCGCTCTCGCAGCGCGCATTCGAGGGGTAACTCTCGACGCACGCATACACACGTACACGTGACTTTCCATTTCATCGTCGGCCGTAACAGCCGGCGCACAAAGCAACCGGGCAAACGCGATCGCGA